CAGAGCCTACTCAGACTTCCAGCCAGACAACGACATGTACAAGACCAGCATGGGTGGGTACAACTCTAAGAGATCACCAGCTGGACAGAATTTGGCCTGTCACGCTAACCCTTGGTGCTGCTCATTAATCAATGACAAATATTAATATGATGGGACACTCAGTACCTCAAAGTAGCAACTCTGAAAGCCCTATATTCACCATTGTCATACGATTATGATAAATTTCATACAAAGTATCATTTGCGAAGTATCATGTTAAAAGTCTTGATCTGCCAAACCTTAATATCCTGTTGAATTGTATGTGCTAGCTGTGACATTTCCCTCCATAGTATTTATGAAAATATGCTTATGATATGAATATGACATAACTGAAATGCACCATACTTGATGCAAGATGGTGTATGTAAGATCTCATTGGAAAGGTTATGACTTACTGAATGTGATTATCCAATGTGTATGCCTGTATCATTTCTGTATGTGAAGTTAGGAATATTGACTATGTATCTGTATTTCAAATGGGTTACTTTGGGTGTCTACCCCAACCAGCCCTTCAGGTACAACAATGGAAAAGCCACACAGGGCTAATGGCCTATTCGCTAAGGCAATGGACTGTGAAAAAGCTTAGTCTTCCTGTGAACACCCTACGAGTAATGGCTGCCACAGCCCTGCAGCGACATGGGTCTGATTGGCCTGGTACTGGATCCACTCCTTGGATTGCCAGTGTTCTTCTACTGGGAGACAAAGGGTTCCTGCCATACACAAGAGCTACATAAGGCAGGGGAATGACAGCATCATAGCTCTCTCCTTTGCCTCCTCACCCAAAGAGGCACTGAAAAACACCAGGAAGCAAGAACTGAACTGGGGGGAGAAGGGTTGAGCCCAAGCTGGAAGGGCATCTAGTCTGTGAGTAACAATACCTGAGGTTTCAAGCTGGAGACCAGCGTAGCTGCCTTAGTTGTCCCCCGCACTTAATTGAAATCGCGGACCTCGTCGATAACAGCAGCAATTAAAAAAAAAAAGAAAAAAAGATGAATTTGGCTTGGAGTTTAGCACCAAGCAAATACAGCATATTGTAGTGTAGAAATACCACCTAAGATCACTTATTGACTCATCAGTGGAGCTGCAAAGGGCCACTCGGACAGTGGCCAACTGAGCTTAATAGTGGCAGTAGCATTATCACTGCAGAATGCTTCTCTCGGCCAGAAGAACAACATTGTGGCTGCTACGTTTTCAAGATGAATGCTGTTGCCATGGTAAAAAGCTTGTGGTCTCTAGAATGAGAACTTTAAAATGCTAAGGACACCATGTGATTAGGGAAAGGTAGAACCCATGCTTTGATATGAGAGACAGGAAAATGAGAGAAACTATTTCTAATCACCATCTTTTCTCTCTACTGGCTTTCTGAGACGCACCCTGTAATGAACGTGCAATTATAATCAAAGCATTAAATAAGCATCCCCTCACTCCCACATTGTACAGATTACCGAAGGAAGCACATTGTGGGAAATCATTTTTAAAAACATAGTATTGAATGTACTCTTAAATAGATCTCACCATGTTCTGAATACATCCTCCTATTTTTAAAACTGTATCCGTAACCAAAGCATATTTAATGAGATCAAAACTCTACTCCACATTACTACGCCCCCCCCGAAATGCATACGTAGCACTACCCAAACCTCTATATGTGTTGGCTAAATGTTAATGTATTTTGTCAAAAACAGATTACCTTCCATGGCTAAATTATTCAATGTCATCATCTACAGCAGCCATCTGCAAGCCTAATCCCCTTGTGTTCTCAAATTCTGAGTGCCTGCTACACTATTTTTGTTTTACGTTCCTGCATAAATCTGTTAAACTCAATATGTTACAGCAAATTCCCCAAATCAAAGGCAATCTGCCGGCCTATAAAACACTGGTTATTGAAAATCGAAGGGTTCAATATGGTAACAATTCAAGAAGTCAGTAAGCAACCTTTAAAAACAACGAGGAGTCCTTGTGGCACCTTAGAGACTAACAAATTTATTTGGGCATAAGCTTTCGTGGGCTAGAACCCACTTCATCGGATGCATGGAGCGAAAAATACAGGAGCAGGTATAAATACATGAAAGGATGGGGGTTGCTTTACCAAGTGTGAGGTCAGTCTAATGAGATAAATCAATTAACAGCAGGATATCAAGGGAGGAAAAATAACTTTTAAAGTGGTAAGAGAGTGACCCATTACAGACAGTTGACAAGAAGGTGTGTGGTCTGAAGGCTGAATCACACACTACAGTATCTGCTCAGATAATCCATGCTGTAAAATCTGATCTGTTTTTGCTATACACAGTGTGGCCTGGCCTTGCACCCATTCATGTATTTCATATCTAATAAAAATCTGAACAGTTGGTCTGATTGGATTTTAAGTGATGCAAATCTGAAAATCAAAGAGGCAGACTCCCTTTAGACTTGGTCTATTTAGATTATAATTGTAAAGAACCGCAAATTACATTTACTGTGCTATTGAATTCTCAAGAGATTCAATATGAGTTTTACCAAATGAAAACTATTTGTCATTTTAAATTTGTTAACAGCAAATAAAAGTGTATTCAGTATATGATGCCTTTATTATTTTAGTACAGCCTTGCATACATAAGCAGTAAAGGTGTAATCGCTTTTCACTGCATGGATCACTCTTTGGTTTTCACAGTAATTTAATTACATTGTTTGACAAAAATAGTTATTTTTGATTATTATTATTCTATTAGGCTGGCAATTAAATTAAATTGATAAATAGCATTTAAATTCCCCATCAGACACATAATCATTTGGAGAGACCAGTCTGACATTCCCAATTAGAAGTTTCTTCTCGGAAATGTAAATATGATGAAATAACACATGTTGAAAGCACCAGTAGGCTTGAAAAGCAATAAGCTTTCCTAGCTTAAGATTAAAAAAAAAAAAAAAAAAACTTTTATGAAATATTGAGATTGTTTATAAGCCTGCATTTGACCAAAATCAGAGGCGGTTCTAATGATGGATATCACTTTCCAGTTGAGGATTCTAACAGTAGAAGTCAAAATCCTCCCTTAAAATAACTTTTTATTTGTTTTGATCACCAATCTCTGCTCAGATAATACCCCCTTCAACTCCCATTCCTGAAGATGAGCTATTTATAAGTTATAAATATGTATTAAAAATAAACAAACAAGATAACTCAAACGTAGAAAACATGACAATGGAAAAGAAAGTTGAATGCTCTCCCAAATCCAAATTTCCTTTTTTGGCATTGCTTTTCTTATTCCCCTAGTATGTTACATATTACTTGTGTTATCTGTCGAGATTAGGCCCTGATCCAGCAACTGACTGACTGCAGGCGGACCCCTGCACAGAGCTTTCTGAACTTTAAAAAATGTTCTTCTGTATAAAGGCAAACAAACTCATAGATGCAATAGCATTAACCACACAAAGGAAGCATATGCACATTCATACTTTCCTTATAAATATAAGAAAACCTTGGAGCTGTGTTAGACTTACAATTTATCATATGAAAAATAAATAATCTCCCACTGTGGCTTGAAATGCAAAATAAGGAGTCACTAATTAGGGTATATTACTCCTGCAAACTCTTCAGCACATTTTAATACAGTTTGGTTGCTGAGACAGACAAATGAAAAAATATATCATATGTAATTTTATTTAAATATATTTGTTGGGAATTTATCACATAATTTATTAAAAAAACAGCTTAGTTCATCATTACTACCACTAGAAACAAAACACAACAAATAATAAAAAACCCTCCTTAATTTGCCTCTGTGACATCAGTTACTGTATTAATTCTCATCTTCCCTTTCTTAGCAAAATAATGGAAAAAGTCATGTTTTACCACCTTTCTTACCTCTCCTCCAAAAAACCCCCACAAAAAACAAAAAACCTCCTTAGCCATTTTCAGTCTGACTTTCACACCACTCTATGGCAAATAGTGTTCTTCTCTAATGTCACCCTGCTTGCCTCTCTGAACTTAAGATCTTCATTTGATACTTTACCTATAACATCTTTATCCATGACCTGAACTGTTCTGTGCATTTTAGGCACCTACTGATCTTACTTCCATGACTGCATATCCAACCACCTATTTTGTGCAATTGACAATCCACTCTTTTATGATATCCTGACGATTTAGTCCTTGATCCCATCTTTTCATTTAATTCCTATATCTAAATTCATGGTTATCATATCCATATCTCTTTCATTGTTTTGTGTCTCTCTTCCTTGCTCATTGTTCCATTTGAGACCAAATTCTTCATTGGCTATAGATCTCTCAGACTAATTATTCTGCCTAGCAACACCTCCAAATCACCACCTACATAAGACATTAATGCGACAACACTGCCAAATCGCATTTTTTCTTATCTTGATTACTCTAATTCCATCCATTACACACTCCCTAATTCTCAATTTGACAGTGTTCAATTTGTCCAAAATATGACGACTATTCTCATTCATGCCCAGAGGCCAGAACAAACTACATCACCTTCAGAAATGGTCACTAGCGTCCTGTCTATTTCAGTAAACAGAACAAATTCTCAGTCCTAATCCTATTGAGGGTATGTCTTCACTGCACTGTGAACCCATGCTCTTATCCAGGTTTTGATCCACCCCTCCCCACCATCCAATGCTACACAAAACCCCCTCTGATGTGGATCTGTAGGTGCTTTAGGCCCAGGCTAGCTTACCCTATTGTGGGTACAGGTTTGAGTAAGTCAGGCTGGAACTCACCCCCCTTTCAGTGAGGATGCAGACAAAAATCACCTGGGCTAAGCAACGCAGGTGCTCAGACCTGGGTGTCAAAGGTTAACTGTGCAGTGAGTCTTTACCCCTCCCTGCATCATAGTCACTGGACTGCACAGAGAAGCTTCTGCAGATTTGGGAAGGGGGGCGGGGGAGATGAAGGACAAAATGCCATAGACTGTTTTCTCCACACACCAGTCTAGGAAGGATAATCTGGCACCATCTCTCTAACCTAATTTCTTCTCGTTCACCAGCAAGTATTCTGTACAACGAATCGTAGGTCCTTTTTCCACTCTGACCCTATCATCTAGAATAGCGTCATTGCTAAAAACAATCTTCAGCACCGTCAGTTGCCTATCACCTCTTGCTTGACTCATAAATGTCTGCCATATTGATGGGTTAGATTCTGCAGTCTTTACCCAGATAAAACTGCAATTGAAACCAATAACATCTGTAAGATTTGGCTCAATATATTTTTAAAATAACTGTAACTATCAGTATGCAGCATTTTTCATCCACCAGGAGCACAAAGTGGTTTACAGACTGATTATGTAGGAATCATTCATTACTCTTTCAAATGCAGCCACCTCGGGGTAAGCCACTGCCGTCGTTCTATACCAACAGCAATATAAATATGGTGGAGCCTCCTTGCTGCCTCCCAAGCTGCTCTCTGTTTGCATAATTCTTCTGCTCTCCTCTTTGGGCCTCCTTCCATGCAGCCTCTTATGTCTGTAACTTCCAACCCTTCCTTGTATACCAAACGACCAGTCTCTCTTCATTCAAATCCATTCTCAGAACTCTCTATTTTCATGAAGACGTTCCAAGATAATACACCAATGAAAGGGATCATCAACTATCCATCAGGCATATTATCTGACAGAAACATACTGCCAGTATATAACTCAGAATATAAAATTATTTGGGAAGAGATCCTGTTTTCATCCATAGTTTAGTTTTCAAAATATATGACACTAATGACTACCTCTAATAAAGCTTAACAACATTGTACCGCTAGCTCACCTGGAAAGAATTAGTAGCCACTCACATTTAAGTAGCCTCATAAATGTGCTCTGACAGGACTGTGCTAGAGGCCGTGCATTTTGACTAGATTATCTAATCAAATGTCTTGCTCCCCAAAACAGCTGTACAGTGTGGGTGGTATGGAACATCCTGAATAATTATGCAAATTTGAAGCAGAAACTGGTGTAAATCTATAAAAATTGCAGATTCTCCTCAGCCATATGTCTTTTAAAGGCAAAGTACTTTGTTCCATGCAGTTCTAATCAAACAACCCCTTACCATTGCCACTGGCTGCTCCTATTTTTTAAGTAGTTTGCCTAAAGATCTAAATCACACTAATGCAGTTAGACTACTGTGGGGTTAGCCATCTGGCTTAGTGGCTCATTAGTAAAGAAATGACCCCTATGCATAAAACACAGCTGGGTCATTCCAAGCTAATGAGCCTTCAAGTTTTATTGTCTGGTACGTCTACAAATGGCTGGACATGGATCTCTTTTATAAGTCTACAATTTTTACATACTAACAATTAGGCAGAACATTGATTAAGTTTTAATAAATATTATGATCTGTGAACACAGAACCAAGCTATCTACACATGTAATATCAATATGGATTTCTTTAAAAGAATGTTTCTATACCGTAAGATCCTGATAAAAACAATGCCTTTATCTTTATTTTTTTCTGCATTAGAACTTGCTTGGTAACTTAATTTAACATGCTGATAATGTATTGCTCATTAACTCATTTAAGTTTAATATTTTTAAATTTTTACTCTATAATTTTAATGTAAATACACCTCTACCCCAATATAACACTGTCCTCGGGAGCCAAAAAATCTTACCGCGTTATAGGTGAAACTGCGTTATATCGAACTTGCTTTGATCCGCTGGAGTACACAGCCCCACCCCCTCGGAGCGCTGCTTTACCGCGTTATATCCAAATTCGTGTTGTATCGGGTCGCATTATAGCGGGGTAGAGTTGTATATTTTAATAAAACACACACAGTTCATTCCTGCAAATTAATTTGAACTATTTATGTAAGGCTACTCACATCAGAAAGATTTACAGGATCAGAGCTCAAACACCTGCTCCCACAAGAAGCTAAGGCCCCAATTCAGCAAAGTACTTAAGCACTTATGTGTCTAACGTGAAGCATATAAATAGTCCCATTGACTTCAGTGGGACTCCTCATATGCATAAAGTTATGCACCTACCTACATATCTTACTGAATCAGACCCTGTATATTCTCGTGAGATGCTTAGATGCCTCCACTCCAACACAATGGGAGTGGATATAGAGTGATCTGGATTGCTTGATAAACTGGGTGCAGGTAAGCAAAAAGTGTTTTAATATTACTGAATGTAAATGCATCCATCTAGGAACAAAGAATATAGGCCACACTTACAGGATGGTGGACTCTCTCCTTGGAAGTAATGACTCTAAAAATGTTCCGGGAGTGGTGGTGGATAATCAGCTGACATGAGTTCCCAGTCCAACACTGTGGCCAAAAGGGCGAAAGTGATCCTCGGATGCATAAACAAGGAAATGCCGAGTAGAAGCAGAGATACCTCTGTGTTTGGCACTGGTGTGACCACCTCTGGAATAATGTGTCCAGTTCTGGTATCCACAATTCCAGACAGATGTTGACAAATTGGAAAGGGTTCGGTGAAGAGAATGATTAAAAGATTAGAAAACATGCCTTATAGTGATAGACTCAAGGAGCTCAATCTATTTAGCTTAACTAAGAATTGATCACAGTCTACAAGTATCTACACAGAGAACAATATTTGATAATGGGCTCTTCAAATTAGCAGACAAAGGTATAACAGGATTCAATAGCTGGATCTTGAAGCTAGACAAATTCAGTCTGGAAATGAGGTGCAAAGTTTTAACAGATAGGGTAATAAGCCATTGGAACAACTTACCAACGGGGGTGGTGAAATCTCAATCACTGACAATTTTTAAATCAAGATTGGATTGTTTTCCCTAAAAGATATTTTCGAGGTCAAAAAGGAATTAATTCAGGGAAATTCTATGGCCTGACTGATGCAGGTCAGACTAGATGATCATAGTGAGCCCCTTTGGCCTTGGAATATATGATTTTATAAGCAACAGTGAAAAATCAGACTGCTTTTTTCCAGCGTCTTTTGTACTAACTTTATATTAAATATTGTAAAATAAAGAAACTTAAAAAAAAAAATAGTGAATGCTTCTTGTTTTCTTACAAAAATAAGCATAATAAATTAGAGATAATTGAATAAGCACCCACTGCAAGCACAGGGACTTATTCACACCAGTAATCTTTACTTGCATTTATGTAATAAATTACACACATAAGGGTTTGCAGGATGAGGCCCTTAGGCATTCAAAATATCGTTTAGCTTTAACAGGTAACAGATATCTTTAAACTGAAGTAATGGTATAAGGAGTGAGTTCGGTGCTTGAATTTTAGAACCTAATTTAAATTTCAGTCATTGAACATGTCTATACAAAAGCCAGATGAAAGACAAAATGAAGTTATTAGGAAAAAGGTCATGTCTGCAATGAAAATTAAATTATCCACTGTAAAAAATCATCAGCTTGTTAATAAGAAGTGAGATAAACAAGCTAATGTTACTATCCTTTCACAATAAGCAGTAATTTCTATTTTGCTCTCTTAAAAAAAAAATCAGTATATTCTCTGGTCCTACCAGCTGGGTAAAACTCAAAATGCTATATTAAAATATAACTAACACAATTTTGTCCAGTTCCTTGGGTTTCCAGTGTTCAAGATAATGTGATTATATTAGATAACACGGTTTCCTCTACCTATCAGTGTCAATCTTTTTTGACTCTTCCATGACATCTCTTATCAACGACAGATTGTATAGTTTTTAATACAATAGCCTAAGAGAGCCAAGGGTTTCATTAAATTAATACGTCTCTGGTTAATTCTACCTTATCTACTTATTCAACTTAGCCTTAAAACCCAATTAAAATCTAATTTATCTGATCCCTGGATTCTGAATACTATTTGGCAATGAATCTGACAGCCTTATAGTAACTACATTACTACACATTGTGCCCCAAGGTATTCTAAATAATGTTTAAAAAATTCATTTAGAGCTGCAGAAATCTCTTTTGGGGCTCTTTGATTTCAGAGTGAAGAACAAATGTTTTATCATAATGCAAAAATCTAGTTATGCTAGTTAGGACCAGATCCTCAACTAATGTAAATTTGCATAGCTCCACTGGAACTAATGGGATTGTGACAGTTTAAACCAGCCTAAGATCTCACCCATAGGCCCCAATTCTCCACTATGTCGGAGCTGTAATTGGACATAGGGAAGCGGGGCGTCTGCAAGGGTGCCAGCTGATTCAGTGATCCTTGGCTGCCCAGCATTGGCAGAAGTTAGAGTAGAAGAGGGTGCACTCTCACTTCCACCACTGACAGCTCCATTATGAAGTTTGCACCAGCAGAGGATCAAGTGTAAAGTGTATTTGGTGGACTGTAATATTAATCCTAATGTGTTAAGGGAAGACTTCCCTTTTGCTTTCTACAGCCCCAATCCTGCATTCACATCCTTTTGCCTGGACACACATGACTACATGACTTCAGTGGTGATTTGCTATCATTTTATTACATGAATGAATTCAGTGGGGCTCAACATGGGCACAGGGGTCCCCACTAGTGGATCCAAATGTAGAGCCCTATATATTGCAATAATAAATGTATTGCAACAATATATGTGCAATATATTATTTCAGGTTTCACTGTATATTACATTATAAGACTAATGAACAGGAAAACCAGTTACAGATAAATGTATTATAGTGAACTCGTCCTATGTCAGGAAATGCCATATAATTTCAGTGTAACAAAATGAATGCCAAACTATTTAAAATAAATTTTTCTTGTATCGGTAACAAGACAAAGGTGATATTTAAAATATATTTACCTGGTGATAAAATGAGTTCTATGTAAGTTGCATATGCTACTTGTGTGACAGTGACTCCATTGCATTTGTTTTGTGATATCCTGATATATTACAAGCTAACCCAAAATTATCATATTTTATGCTAGGTGTTTAATTAGAGATCAGATTCAACTGTTCTGTGGGAAAAAAAAGAAATTCAATATTTTAAATTCAGTGTTAAAAATCCAAGAATAAACTGAAAAAAAATTATGTTCCAACCCAGTTTCCCTTCCGCAAAAAAAAAAAAAAACCTGATATTGTAATAATATGCAAGATTTAGGAAACTGATCATATCACAGGTTATTTTTCTTACTTTCATTTGTGTATGTTAAAAAAAAATCATTACATGCTGCTATTGTATGAAGAACACACAGATCTGGAAGGAGTAAGTCTAAGTTAACTGACAAGTTACCCTATGATATACTCACAAGGTATG